AGAGGAGAAACAACGAAAAAAAGAAGAACTGGCTCAGAAAAAACGTGAAGAAGAGGAGCGTAGAAAGGAGGAGAAACGACGAGAAGAGGAGGAGCGGAAGGAGCGCAAGCGTAAAGAGGAAGAGGAGAAACAACGAAAAAAAGAAGAATTGGCTCAGAAAAAACGTGAAGAAGAGGAGCGTAGAGAGGCAAAACGTCGGGAAGAGGAGGAGCGGAAGGAGCGCAAGCGTAAAGAGGAAGAGGAGAAACAACGAAAAAAAGAAGAATTGGCTCAGAAAAAACGTGAAGAAGAGGAGCGTAGAGAGGCAAAACGTCGGGAAGAGGAGGAGCGAAAGGAAGCCAAGCGACGAGAGGAAGAGGTAAATCCTGAAGACCAGTTTTTCCTTTTCTACAATTTTTACGGAATCGAGCAAGTTTTCCCATTTTAGCGAAGGTGTTCGTTTCATTTTGGGGGCTTCGACTGGTATTTTCGTACTTATCCATCGGGTTATATGAAAGCCAGATATGCCCAAAGAATAAAAAGGTGTAGCAGTTTCGCAGTTGCTAAAAAAGTGTTGCTCAGATTCAATGAAAAGGGAATGTGGTAGCGTTTGACCGCCGGATCTGTGGGAATCCTCAAACACATACAACAAAACCGCCGCTGAACATGTTTCATATTGAGGTGAAGTGGTGGCGATGGGCTCAAGTTTACACGCGCAGCATTCCCGTCACGCGCAGCACTCATCCGGGTGTTGCGAAAAGGTGTAAATAGCAAGTTCCTGTGGATTACTTATTAAAAAGTTCAAACAATGACCAGTAAGTGAAATTTGGGGCAAATGAAATTTCGAATTGAGCAGTTCATGGTCCTGTTCTGCACGAAACTATTGAACCTTTTTGAAATTCGTATGTAGAGAAGCGAGAGGGAGTAAAAAGCAGGGAGAGATCGAAAAAAGCTTAAACAATGGGTGAGCAATCCCACTTAATTAGAGTTTTAGTCATTCAATGCGCTTTTAATCTGATATCGGTATCGTTTCAATTCATATGAAGAGAAAAATTGGGTGTAAAATATGTCTTTCACTTCACCCATGGAGTGAGCGAAGTGGTAATCAGTCATCAGTAACCGACCATTTGTATAGAATATCAGAGCAGCGAACCTTGGATAGACTCAGGCTAGCGTGCAAAGATCGACGAAATTCCAGTATGCTCGGAAATTTCCAATGATATACCAAAGTGCGGTTGAACTCGGCTTTTTGCTTGAAACTCGAGTTTTCGGGAAAATCAATTTCGATCTGATTGTTTCACTAATGCTAGGCAACTATTTTGTAATTGCAGATTTTTAGTAACTGCTTAGTGCTTAATATGTGTTATATTTTCTCAGGTGTGGAAAGCCAAATAAAATCGTGTAGGTTTCTGCATTTGGCAGTCGAAGCGAACTTCCTGAACTTGTCATTTTCCGGCATAGGTCACTGTCAGAGGTGGATGACGGCATGTGTACGAAGCAGTTAAAACGTTATTGACGTCAAGTCTATTGGGAACATTTGATAAATCTGTACTTGGGCTGAACTTGGTCGTAAATTTGTGAAGAGTTGAAGGGGAATGGGAAGGGAAAAGTTTGAAAGTTTGGTGGTATACTTTTTGTCGGGTAACATTGGAAAATTTTGTTCTTTTTCTTTTCCATGGTAAAAATGACATGCGCAGTTACGGTTTGGGTGCTCTTTCTTCTCCAATACATAGTTCCATGACTATGTGACAGTAATCTGTATCGACCATATTCAAAGTACCTTTTGAACACCTGTTTCAGCGGATGGGGCATTGACTCGAAAAAAGCTTAGGCTGTACTTTCTATGTTATAGTAATCTTCAAATACTTATGGCATACGTTTTCCTGCTCGCTTCGAATTTAGAGGTGTCAACTGCTAGTAGAGATAATATTTAATTGCTTTCCAAATTTAACGCGATACTTTATAAGACGATTTTGGTGCCCTCATAAAGCGAATCATAGTCAGTCAGTCATACTTTCTGGGAAGCCTATCCAGCAACTTTCCACTTTCTTGTCCTATTGAGAAAAAGTCGAAGTGGAACTCTGCCGCGTTCTCCTCTTCATAACCCACGCTTTTAAAGCTTTCTGTATTTTACTGCCTATCTTGCAAAATAACCGACTACTTGCTGCAAAAAAAGACATGCGTCGTTCCTTTATAGAGATTTCTACATAGGAATACTTCGAAAAAAACGGTCATGAAAATTATATCGGCAAAGTTCTACAATGATTTATAGCATGGAAGAGATAAGCGTCGCATATCTGCTCGATTTATGGGTTTCTTTAGCAAAGGGGAAAAGAAAAAACCAGAAGTTGTGGATACGCCGGAATGCGACCTTTGGCATAAGCCGTTCGAAGTGGAGTTTGTTAACATTTTTCGAGGGTTTCCTACTCATTTCGTGTTCAAAGCTTTCACTAACTTGAAAGTTTTCCTCACGTCAATTACTTTGTGATCTCTGCTCAAGGAATACTTGAAGATTTGACATGATTGTAGATGAAGAATGAGCTCTTGAAATTTAGATAAAAGATGGTATGACCTTGGCTCCGATTCAGAGGCGTGCTGTCCTCCAGTTGGAGGACGATATTCTGGAGCAAAGACCTGAGGTGAGAACTTCATTCCAAAGCAGTGATTGCGCTGGTGAAGGGTACCACTATCTGGTTTAACTTAAGTGAGCCTTATTTGATTGTAAAGGCGTAGTAGATAGTTTGAACGTAACTGTAGGAGCAAGCGATTTGCTGGGTGCTAGCTTAGCTTTGCCCTTTGACATCGCCTTTCTTCTTGCTTGGTTTTATGAATTTCCTAATTTGCCTTGCTTCACTTCCAACGTTATTAAGGTTTCCCAAACGTCGTATTTGGCTTCATTATCAACAAATTCGAGGTAACTTCGTATGGTGTGTCCTAGAAAGTGAGTTCTTTTCATTTGGATTTAACACAATGGTGAGAACAGGCTCGAGTAGTCAAGTGGTTTACCTCTGTAGTTGCTTCTCGTTCCATAATTCTTATTGGTTCTTGTAGCATGCAGTAATTTCTCTTACGCCATGTTATTATTAAATGACTGGTTTGTGTGTCTTGTTTCCTCTTTTATTTCTCACGGACATTGAGTGACTGAGAATTCCATGAAGAGGCATCGAAAAGGCGATCTAGACTGAAGCAATGAAACCTATTCATTTTAAATAATTTGAATAATTCCTGCTCCTAGTTATATGACACGTTGTTCGGAAAGTCTCCGGAATGGATTCGCAAATGACGGACTTGAATTTAAAGGAATCTTCCACGGACCATGGACCAGTGGGCGGGACCGGAAGTGGTTTTGCGACGAAATGCATGGTAGGTACGGATCCACGTTCATGGGAAGGTTTGAAGTGAATCCTGTTCACGTTCGTGCGTTCGACACGTGGATCCGTACCTACCATGCATTTCGTCACAAAAACTTCCGGTCCCGCCCACTGGTCCATGGTCCGTGGAAGATTCCTTTAAGGTTGAATGTTAAAATGGGTCAAAAAGCGTGATTTAAATGTTTGCCCACAATATTACGTTTTCTTTCATCTATCAGCAAATAACTTAGTGTCAGGGCCGAGATTCTTGATTTCCTAATCAAAGCACTTTAGTACCTGGTGCAGCCCTTCCCCGAGAACTCGTTACTCAATTGTGGTGGAAGTAGATGGAGTGGCACGACTGAGAGCCGATTAGAGAATTGTAACTTGAAACTTGCTGGTGGCTATTCGTGCATTTTTACCGAAATATTCGTGAAGTAGCACTCGCTCCCGTAACAGAAAAAAAGCTGAAATAAATACGAGGATGCGCGAAAGATTGGGGCAGGGTGCAGGTACGAGTGGGACGTAATTTTGTTGGGTAAAATTCTTTTTCTGCTGGATTTCTCTTTAAAGCATTCCAAGCAACGTCATATTTCAATATGGTATGGGAACACTTAGATCGAAGGAGTGATAAATGTCGGGTAGAAATTTCCAATTGACTCGAGATAGATCTTCGAATGAGACGAATCTTCAAGTTTCTATGGGTTTGTGAATCAGTGATTTCACATTGTCATTTACAGTCCCATGCGAGCAAAACTTGTTCCAATTCCACGACAACTACCGTCCACCGTACTACGGGACTTGGAGAACGCGAAGTGCTACGATTACAGGACGTCGTCCATTCACTACAAAGGAGGAGAATATCGACTACGAAGTGAGTCTCCCTTGTAGCTTCTCATTATTAAGTTTCTGTCAGTGTGGAAGTAATTTTCAGTCATAGTTAATACGTTTCTGGCTTCGTTTCTCTCAGCGTCTCAATTTAGGTGGACTCGGATGCTGAATGGGAAGAGGAGCCTTCAGATGCTGAAGAGTGCAAATCAGATGAAGAGGTGAGGTTTTTCATCTCATATTTTCAAAGT